CGCGGGCTTTGGCTCGGCCTTCGGTGGAGACGTGGCGTGTGGGTGGTGCGAATGTTTACGGCGACCAGCCGCGTACTCTGTTCGTTCGCCTGAAGTTTTTGGAGACGTCGACCGCTCATGACTCCCCACACTTGACGACGCGCGCGCAGCCATCTCGCGCCGCTGGGCCGCACGCGAGCTTGGTTTCTTCCTCGCTGTCGCACGTGCAAAATGAAGGGGGTGCTGCGTGGCCAATGTGTGCCAGCAGAGCAGCCGCGTGGTAAGACTTTCCGCACGCATCACATGTTTTCTTCCCGAATGTGCGCTTGCGTCGATTCGGGTTCTTCTTGCAAGCATGGCGCTCGTGTTCTGCAACTCCACGGGCTGTTGGCATCTTGCCGCAGTAAAGGCACGGCGTGTCCTTGGGGCTGGTCCGCATGGTTGTTTTACTTAGCAGCGAGACAACGATTGCGGAATGCGCCAGACCAGACCACAGCCGAATTACGAAGCGAGCAGCGCGTGTTACATGGCCCCTGCTCACTTCAACACTTCGAAGCTGAAGGAACTGGCTGCGCCGCCGCGGTGGGAGTTCCCCAGAACGATGACCTTCGCGTTCGGGTCCTCGTCTACGTCTTCTGTGCTGCGCGGGGTCGTGTCTCCTGCTCGAGCTGCTCCTCGAAGCGCGCGGGAACCTTGAAGCGCGACGTCAACGGCGACGCAACTGGAGGCCGCGCTTGTGCTCTGCGCTTGGTGGCGGAGCTGCATTGGCCTGTCCACGCGGTGAGCGGCAGCGGCCCGCGCTGCTTCGTCCGTGTCCAGGACCAGCCAGGTTTCTTTGAGACCAGCGGTGGGGATGCGCAGCTTCGCCAGCGACCTTCTGCGCGACGTGGCCGCCCTGGCGCGGTCGCGCGTGGCGAGCCGCGCTACCTCGGCAAGCGCTTCGGACGCGCGCTCGCCAGGGGAGTCGACAAACACCGCGCTCGCAGCAAAGTTCTCCGCGCATCAGCGCCGCAGCTTCGTCGCGTCGTCAGCCGCCACGTGTGGCAGAATGGCGCGAAACGACTTGGAAGTGGCCGCGACCTTGACGGCAGCCATGGACGACCACGGCGACGCCTCTACCGTGATGGGGATGCGCTTCCGGCACCAGCGCTTCCTCCGTGGAGTTTCTTCTGCAGCTTGCGCGCGAGCGCGGCGCTGCCTGCGCCCCGCCCCCTCTGCCTCGCCTGGCTGAGAGTTGCCGGCTGGTAGGCCTCGGGTGGCGGCCCGTCCTTGTGCCAGAGCTTTTGCGCGATGAGAGGCGCGTATGGTGCGGTGAATTTGCGTGCGAACTCCGCTTCATCGTCGACGTGCTGGTGTAAGGCGCCTCCGAAGCCTGCTCTGAAACAACGGCTCCTGGTGCCCGCCTCCAGCGTTCCGCCATTGAATAGTAGAGAAGGGTCGAGCTTGTTCTGACCGCAGTAGACTTTGCCTTTGCGTGATTGGTGCGTCACGTGGTCGACGGGGGGAGCCGTGGCGTGCTGCGGCGCTGCCTGGGGCTCGCGCGGCCGCCCGGATGTCAACCGCTTTGTCGCGGCGCTGCTCTCATTGCTCCCAGACGAAGACGTTCGACTCACGTGCGTCCGCGCAGAATCGGTCAGCTTCCGATGGAGTTCGTCTCGCGCGATCTCTTCTGGGCTCTGCTGCGCACCGCTGTGCTTTCCCGTATGGCTTGCCGAGCGACTGTGCTTATGCGAGTTGGAGCTGGTCTGGGGCACGCGCGGTGCTTGGTGCGCGGCCGCGAGCGGTCTATGCATCCGAGGTGAAGACGGGTGGCTTTGCGAATGCCCCCCACGCTGGCCCGTGCGAGCACCGGGAGTGCTCGCATGGGGCACATTTGTTGTCATCTTGGCCGCTGTTAGCCGAGTCGAAGCACCAGGCGGCTCCCATGCCGAGCGCGCAACACCCTTGGCGTGCCGCCACGGTTTCGACACGCGGGCGCAGGAGGCGTATCTGACGCTGCTAAGAAGCGCGCCCACGATGATGGCACAGGCCGCTCACTAGTGCAGCGCCCTCACTTGATAGTAAAACTGGATGAGCGCGAACTGGTCCGACGCACTCGTTCCCAACACCTTGCGATCGCAAGGTGTTGGCGCGCCGGCGCGCAGGCGCGCCGGCGCCCTGGCGCCCTCTCCCGCCGGACCCCCTCGTGGACGCCGCCTGTCCAGCTCGCTTCCCTCCTCGTTCCCAACGCCTTGCGATCGCAAGGTGTTGGCGCGCCGGCGCGCAGGCGCGCCGGCGCCCCGGCGCCCTCTCCCGCCGGACCCCCTCGTGGACGCCGCCTCTCCAGCTCGCTTCCCTCCTCGTTCCCAACACCTTGCGATCGCATTAACGAGTACGTCGGACCAGTTCGCGCACATCCAGTTTTACTATCAAGTGAGGGCGCTGCGCTAGTGAGCGGCCTGCGCCATCATCGTGGGCGCGCTTCTTAGCAGCGTCAGATGCGCCTCCTGCGCCCGCGTGTCGAAACCAGCCGGGGGGCTTTCTAGGGCGACGCCGGGTCCAGCAGCAGCGCCCGTGCAGGGGCCAGCAGGCGGCGGCGCCAGCTTGGGCGCTGTAATTTGGGGCGGCTCGCGTGCGCTTTCGGCGGCAGTCGCCGTGGATACTGCGGCGCGATATTCGTCGGCCGACAACGGCTGCAGCCAGCCAACCCCCAACGGGCCGAGAGGCGTGCGCCACCGGGCGGTGAGAGTGCGCAGTAGGCTTTGCATCTGGCGCGTCGTCCTGCTTTCCGCCCTGGCGAAGTACAGCGTGGCACGGTTGTTGTCGTCGCGCACCCAAGTGTATTCGATGCGCGCAGATGCCCCCCATTGACTCAGTCGAGTTTCGACCTCGCCCGTCGCCTGCCCTAGATGCGCAGCGAAATGGTTGTAGGTCGCCTCCGTCATCGACGCTTCTTCTCACCGACCGTTGAACATCTTGGTCGTGCCATGAGTCGTCCTACCTGCTCGCAGCCCCCCGCGACGACTTCATTTGGTGGCGGGCGCGGTGCGCGGGGAGATGGCACAAAGCGCAGCGGAAGTTATATCTCATGGCAACGCGTTTTGGAAGGTGCGGCGTAACCCACTTACGAATGTTGACTTCGCTCCCGTACGACTCAAGCTTGTCGCGCTCGCTACCCGAACAGCTGCCCGACTGGCTTGTCGATTTCCAAGTCGATTCGCTATGTAAGTAACTACCACTAATACACGCGAGCAACACACCTGACATGAGGAACGTATACTACATCGCAACCTACATCGCAACTGACATCGCAACCCACATCGCAACATACATCGCAACCACATCGCAACTACATCGCAACCACATCGCAACTTACATCGCAACTTTCATCGCAACTACATCGCAGTTGCATCGCAACCTACATCGCAAACACCTCATAAACCGAAGCCAACTGGATAAACCAAGCCCACCCGACATCTCTCTTGCCATCTTGCGCCTAGTGGCCGAGACTGCGTAACAGAAATGCGCACTGGGATCATATATCTATGTGCGTGACGGCGCGGATGGCAAATTTCCAGCAACGCTTGGATTCATGGTTCTGTGTGCGTGCGGAATTACACTACTACGGCCTCTCAGATGGGCGCCGGTCCCTCGCGAACTGGTGCACCGCTCCGGGTCCGAGGATCTGTGCGATTTACCGCAAACCGTCGCGGGTTGGTCAACAGCTTCAAAGGCGTTTCCGCTTCGTCCAAGCAGGGACATAGTTCGGATCCGTCTGGGAATCAAATTCCCCCCAGACGTTGTTCGCGATCCTTAAAGACTCGGCGCTGCGCTTCAAGCTTTTCCCCAGTTCTGTATCGGCCGCGCAGTCTTGAATCTGCGTCGCACTCTTAGCGACGTTTGCGCCCTAACCACAACTGGTGCACACGAGGCAGGCGCTGCGGTAGGCCACTTTGCCGTTGCAGCGATCGACGATCTCCTCTCCGTTGACGACTGTGCACTTTGTCACATTGGTGCAGAAGATCTGCTTGCCAGCGTGTGCGTGTTCGGGGCAGCAGAAGTGTTGTCCCAGCGGTGTACCAGCTGGCAGTTTGGAGTTGGTCTCGTGGCAACGGCGCGGGGCGTCTGCATCCCACAGCTTCTGGAACTCCTCGAGCTCGCTAGGGGGCACCTGGCATTCCTTCGAGTACAATGATTTTTGTGCATCTTCAATTGTTCGGTAGGGGCCGCGCTCCTCTCTCTTGGCGATGTTGGCGTATTGGCGATAGAGGTCCAGGCATTTTTGTTTTCTGAGACTGTGTGCCAAAGAGCTCGCGGAACTTTCGTGCGAAAGGGATGAGACCTGCATCTTCCCCCTGCTCGAACTCAAGCCATTCCAGCTTGTCGCTGGTTTTTGTCTTTTGTTGGTCTGTTATGTAACATGTGGCTGGCCGATGCTGCGGATGCGCGTAGGACCAAGTCTCCACTAAGCTGCCACCAGTGAGTAAGAAGCAGTCCTCACAGCGCGCTTCGCCACAGCTGCAGACCTTTCGAGGCGCCCGGCCACACATTTTGCACCCTGTCTGCTCGTTTGCCGGGGCACATGAGGCATCTGTCAGCGCCGCGGTCACTGGATTCCCATCCTGCTGCTGCGAAGGTAATGCCAGATGGTCACCCGTTTCAGGCTGGGCAGAGTTGGCTGCCGCTTCCGTCTGCACCATAGGGTCGAACCAAACGTGCACATGCTGACATTTTTTGCATCGCACGATGCCGCAGGCACATTGCTGAGTCTGTACGTCTGCACGACAGGCGACACAATGCTTGCCGCCGCAGCCGCACGGACCCCTGTGACACACGTCACAATCCTCGTTGCTCGGCGTCCATACATGAGAATTGCTGACCCCGTGGTATGCTTCCATCATGGGCTGCTGCTGATCTTGCTGCGATGTGATGTTTGCGGCGCATGTCTTACAACGGATGCATGCGCAGGTCGGGCACCGTGTGAAGCCCATCGTGTATGCGTCAGACTCCACTCTTCCGCATGCCCCGCAAGGCCCGAGCGCCCTGGCCGAGCCCATACTTTCCGTAAAGAACTGGCGCCTGCAGTCGGCAAGGCCGATCGGTTCTCCCGAGCGCATGGCGTCGAACAGGGCGGGCATGTGTTCCAGCTCATTACGCTGAATCAAAGACCTTGCTTCAGGCATGATCGCGAGCAGCTCTGCGTCATCATTTTCACGGACCGCCGCCACCACTTCTTCCTTCGTTGCTTGGGCATCGCCCCAGCAGAAGCGACGCTGCGAAACCCGAGTGAAGGGGCGCACAGTCTCCACCACTGCGACCTCTGGAAGCTTGCGCAAATCCAAGCAAGTGACCTTCTTCATCTCGTTCTTCCAGGTGCGGTAAGCATTGTCGCCACGCTGTCCTTTCTTGTCGGTGACGCCGAAATATAAGGTGTCTCCAAAACCCGAGACCGTGGAGGCATTCAGGATGCCGTCGTCGATGTTACGATTCCTGCCGAATCGCTGAAGGCCAGCGAGCAAGGCCGCCTGCTGAGCGGCAGGGCACTTAAGGCGGATCTCGAAGGTCCGAGGGCCTTCGAACCCCTCTGCGATTTTGCACTGCGTTGCAACTAGCGATGAGCTACGCAAGCTTTCCTACTTGATCCGAAATTGTGCATGTGCTGGCAAGCGCGCGCATGTTGGCAAACGTATGGCCATGTCGGTCCAAGATTGGTAAGAGAGACTCGTCTTATCTCTTCCCACCTAAACGTTTTGCTGGTTCTTGTGGAGTAATGCTTTAGGACATTACTTTTTCCCTATTCCTCCTCGAGTGAGAAATGTAGACATAGTAGCGTGGGCTTGCCCCATGCAGAGTGACCTTGAAAACCAAACTTGGAAGACGGCACGTAGAACCACGATGTGTTGAGCAGATGAGGACACTACTCTTTCTTTACTCTTCCTCGAGTGAGGAGTGAAGAAATAGTAGCGTGGGCTTGACCCTGCAGAGTGACCTTGAAACCAAACTTGAAAGCAACCGGGCACCAACCGGGCACCAACTGGGCACCAACTGGGCACCAACCGGGCACCAACCGGGCACCAACTGGGCACCAAATGGGCACCAATTGGGTAGCAACCAGACCGCCGTTGCAGACAGAGAGGAGACGAGGGTTTTCGGCTGAAACTTCGCGTTCAGCGTTCAAGTGGAGGCTCCTCGGCTGAAGCTTCGCATTCAGCGTTCGAGTGGAGGCTCTTCGGCTGAAGCTTCGCGTTCAGCGTTCAAGCGGGGGTTCACAGCTGAAGCTTCGCGTTCAGCGTTGAAGCGGGGGTTCGCAGCTGAAACTTCGCGTTCAACTTTCAAGCGGAGGTTCGCAACTGAAACTTCGCGCATGCAGTTTTTTTTTATGTCGGCTCTGCAACCCGCTTCACGCTCTGAGTCTACTTTGGCACTAGAGCCGTAGTCTGCAACGCCCGACCATTCTCAAATCGAAATGCCTTCTGCAGAATGTCGCGCACGTTGTTCACGCTCCTCCCGAAGCTTTTGAGCCGGCCGCAATGGGCGCAGTGGCGTCTCTCCATCACAGGTTCACCACGCAATGCATCATTGCACGTCTTCCAAATCGTCTCTTTGTCCAAACAATCCCCGTCCTCCGTCCATGCTCGCCTGGCCCAGGCATGGAGCCGTCCTTGACCAGCTTCATCGCCACGCGCAGCACGTGCTGCATTCCAGGACTCTAGTATTCCTCTCGGACTTTGCTCTGCAGCAAGAGCTGACACCTTGACTCGCGGTGGCAGCGACGGAAAGTAAGTCGCTCTGGACGCTCACCCGCCTAGGCCACGATTATGACAGCCTCTCATGTGGCTCGATACTCCCAGACACTTGCTGGATCAAGAATGTTGGGGACTGCCCAAGTCTGCGGCTGTTCTGACCCATCGGTCAGCATGAGCCGCGGCGCTTGCAAAACCATTTCCTCCTCGCTGGAGGATTCTTCCGCCAGCAACTCGGCCATTGGCTTCGCATTGCTCTCCAAATTCTTGGCTTGCTCAGCAAGGGTTCGATGCTCCTCAGTAGCGCGAGGGCGGTGGATTGGGGGGCGGTAGTCCTGTTCAGACTCGTCTTGCTTGCAAGGTCGCTTCCTCTTCTGGCCAGCGGGGCGCAGAGAGTCCACTGTCTGCCACGCCGAAATGCGGCCACGGTCGAACTCGTCCACAGGGCGCAGGCTTTTCTGCACAGCGCAACGCTGCTCGTTTGTAAACGGAGCAGGAAGGCATTTGAAAAGGACCTTGGCGGCAAGTTTGACATTGCCCAAGTGAGGAGGGTTCGCAACGCGCAAGAACGCCAAAAGGCCGTGCTGGTCAATGACCAGTTGCACCCAGGTCACCGCGCAATTCTTGCGCTTCATGGCCTGCTGCATCTCCTTGACGGCCTCGGTGCTCCATTCCTTTGAGAAGCGAGCAATGTCGTCAAATGCAAGGCGCGGTTGAAAGATATCCGCAACGAGTGTGTCCATTTCAACATCGCCCGCAAGGCTAACAGTCGGCTGCTCACGGAGGGACTGCATGAGTGCAGGAATCTAGCAAAGCTGGTGGTGGGCAGGAAAAGGCTTGAGCTTGCTTTATAGGAACAGCTTGGGCCAGAAGCTATATAGGAGCAGCCGCCGGAATGCAATGATATTCCGGGTATAATGACTTTTCCGCGCCCTCGCGTACCAGGGTAAACAGCAATATTTGTTCGCAGAAGTTCGCAGTTTGCAAAATTGTGGTGGGCAGGTAAGGGCTTGAGCTCGCTTTATGCCAACAGCTTGGGCCAGGAGCTATATAGGAGCAGCCGCCGGAATATAATGAGATTCCAGTTTTTTTTTTGTTTTTTTGTTTTTCTCCCTTCCTTTTCCCCCCCCCCCCCCCCGCGCCCTCGCGTGCCGGGGTAACCGGCAATAGGTGTTCGCAGAGGTTCGCAGTTTGCAAAAATCGCAGAAGTTCGCGTGGATCGAATGGGACGCAACAGTTCGCTGAAACGTGCGCGAAGTCAGTTTTAGCACCACTCCATCCAAATTTGGTGCGGTACTGGCGCCAGGAATTATCAATCTTTGACGGTTTACTGTTCCAATCATAACACGCTGAGCGATCTCCAGCTGCGTGGCTGCAATTTTTGGAGCAATACTATGTCTCCTTCCAGCAGATGTTCGTGTCACCGTATGGCTTCTCTTGTTGGCAATGACTACGCTGGCGCAGGTTAGTTGCGGACATGCTTACGATTAAATCGCCGTGCCAGCTATCTGTGCCTTTTCGCGCGAAAGCAACTGGAGCAATGCAACAGAAATGGATAGGTGCGTCATCTTAGGCAAGCGCGCTTGCCGCAAGCGCGCTGTCGGACTGCGGCTTGGGTGCGCGCGCAATCTAGGATTTATTCCAACGACTTTTTTTCGTTTGAGCCTTGCGCTGCCACGACGAATTGCTGTAGGTGTAGGTCGCGGGAACTGCGAACTGCGAACTGCCGTGCAGTCCGCATCCTCCTTTTTAACCCACGATGGCAGCTACTCAACTTACCCTGCGCCGTTTGCCATCGCGCATGCGGTCGTAGAAAGTCTCAACAAGGCATCGAATTTTCACGTGGTCGCCGTTTGGGTAACGCTTATTGCGAAGTGCTGAAGCTCATCAGCTGTTGGCCGCGCCTGGTGCTCCGAGAATGCTTCGCGCATGAGCGGGCCGAGGTTGGGGGCAGGTGCGTGGAGAGCGCAGAAACGCTCACCAGCGACAGCATTCATACTGCATCTCCTTTCAGGTTCGAATCCCAATATGCTTGCACATTGAGCGCCTGGCCCACCATGAGTAGCGCAGCAGGGTTTCACCTTCCAGCGCGGCCTGCCCAGCTTTACTTCGAATTGACAGAGATTTGCGTCGGAGGCCACGCGGATCTCCTTCATGTTCCTCTCTTTCTCCGCTCGTTCGGTGCGTCTCCGCTCTGCTGCCCTGTGCTTGCCGAAACTTTCCGCGAAACCTGCCAGCTCAATTTCGATGTCTTCCGGCGCGGGCAAGAGATGGAACGGAGTGGTTATAGGCGAAGGTGGCGGCTCCAAACATTCTCTGGATAGGATTCGGCGTATCCGTTATGCTCGACCATTGCGCACGAGAGCTGCTGGATGTCGGCGAACAGAACGTTGCGAGGCAGCTCCCGAACGACGCGTTCCAAGCTCGCCCTTGGCAGCGCTTGTTCCAATGAGCGCGCGACGCGCGCGTCATGTTGTTCTGCTGCTTCGTGCCAAGCAGCATGATTCTGCGCGCTTGCCTTCAGCTCGGCTCGGCGCTGCGGACCGGCTACAGGTTGCATTGAATGCCGCGTGCCGACAGAAGGCTTCCGCCACCAAGCTGTGGACCGATTCTCTTCCAACAAATCGCGACCGGTTCCAAATCGAAGAAATTGGCGAGAGTGGCTCGCACGTAGCGGCGGTGCTCCCAGACGCCCCAGAACCCAGCACGTGCTTCTCATATAAATCGCCAAGGGACGGGCAGGCATTCGCAGCACGTGTCGTTTCCAGCTGACCTTCGGCATCTGGCGAGGCGGCCGTATTGTGGAAATACCGAGCGAGCGAAGTGGATGCACCGCTCGGAAAAACAATCGGCTCGGTCCTCGGCTTTTTCTGTGCAGGCGCATCGTCGGCAGGGTTTCCCAGGAAGTTCAGCAAGTGGTCGCGCGGTACTTTCTCAACGATCAGTGCTGCCTTGTCGGCCATCTTCATACCAGGTTGACGCTCCACTTTGCACTCCTTACGGATAGCGTTCGCACGCGCCACCTTGAAGGCTTTCTGCGCGCGCGCCACTAGCTGCAAGTCTCCAGGCGCCGCCAGCGCTGACGTGGCGGCAGCATTCGGTTGTCGCAGCGCATGCAACCGCTGTGAGATATCATCCAAGTGTGCATGCAAGCCTTCCTCGACACTCGTCAATTGAAGGCGTGTTTGATTGCCGTCCTCTTCCACAGCTTGCTCCCGTGACGCCTGCAGCCCAAGCTGCTCCTGTGGTGCCGTTGCTTTGGGCTTGCTCGAGAATTTCACCTGGTCGCCACTGTCGTCACTGTAGCGGTCAAGCTCGAACGCCAGAACTGCGTCATCATTGGCGAACTCGCGCAACAGCCCTGCTTCGGTGTAGTCGCGAGCGCGAAAAGCGGCGGTGCACGCGAGCTTGCCAGCGGTATTCCTCGCGTGCTTCTGCAAGGCGCGGCGCTGGCGATGCTGCTCGGCATTCAACGCCATTGGCCAAATCGGATCCTAGGAATGCCACCAAGCAAACTATGGATGCTAAATGGTTACTCACAGTGTAGTTTCGCGTCGCAACCTGACATCGCAACGACATCGCGGGGCCCCCGGGCCCCCGGATCCTCGTTTTCAGTTTCCTTGAGCTTTCATTTAGCTTTCCTTTAGCTTTCCCTTAGCCTTCCCTTTGCTTTCCTTCAGCTTTCTTTTAGCTTTCCTTTAGCTTTCCTTTCGCATTCTTTTAGCATTCCTTTGGCTTTACTTTAGCTCTCCTTCAGCTTTCCTCTTCGCTTTCCTTTAGCT